CATCCTATCGACGTCTCACTCGAGCAGTCAACCAGAGCTACAGATGGGATAGGAAACTTTCGCTAGAGGGAGAAATCACGAAAATCGATAAGGCACCCATAAACGGTGAGTGGCGAAGAATGTTCAAAGGGGTGCGACAGTTGTCGGGTAAGCAGGAGATTCAGTCTGTCCTGATCCAAAAAGCTAAGGGTATACCGTTTGCAAGTCAGAAGGAAGGACTCAAAAGTTGGGTGGAGCATTTCTTGCGGCTGCCTTACAGATCCGTCATTACCGCTCGTTAATTCTCTGCCCACATTAGAGGTTAGAACAGGCACACCTACAAAACAAGAAATCCCGTTGCTACGCCTCGATATGAAGAAGACCTAGGAAAAAGAACGAATTCCACCCAAGTTGATAAAGTAGGATGTTTGTGAATGGTCAAAAAGCTTTACGTCCCGTTTCTTCAAGTGTAAACCTACTAAGGTTTCTGAGGAGAACTGAAGTGTAGAGTAATTTTCGCCATATTTAAATGGGATGAGCGACTACTCCGATTATCGCGGCATCACTCTTCTGTCAACTCCCGGAAAACTCTGCTTCTGGCCTATACTACAAAAGCCGAAGTAGGCAATTAATGGGAGACTTTGCCCAAACCAAGCAGGTTTCAGGATGTTTATGCCTACCTTGATCAAATGTTCACTTTGCAATTCCGATGATTTCAGTTGCCCTGCCTTGCTAGTTTTCTCGACTTTAAGGCTGCATTTGATACAGCACATCGTTCAATGACGTGGAAAATGTTGAAATGCTATAAGAAATTTGAGCAAATCGTTCCTATTTTGGAAGAAAAGGAGGAACCATGGCTGTCGTCATATTGGAAGGAGAGATATCTGACTGGTTCCGTACTGACTGTGGAGTTTGCCAGGGAGATATGCTTATATCATTGCTATTTAACACTGCCCTTGACTTTTTTCATTGAAACAGTGCTGATTATGGCAAAGACGAAGATATCATTCTGGAGGGAAGGCGTGGTTCAAGATATCCGGTTAGGTACCTCTTAGTGAACTGGAGTACACAGAAGATAATGGCCTGGTGAATAGTAATCGAAGAAAATTCGGTCCCCAGACGACTTCCGCACGCAACACCGATGCGAAAAACGAACTCATCCTTAATCACCGGACGTCAAAAGTTATGAGGAATCCATGCGGCACACCTCATCTATAAGCAAAATAGGGATGTAAAGTCGTTCAGGAAATCGACCAGTTTAATCACCTCGGCTCCACCATTTCCGGCGATTTTATAATCCAAAAAGAGTTAAACAGGAGGATTTTTCTAGCCGACACTGCTTTTAGAAACCTGTTCAATCTTTCGACTGAGAAAGGAGCCACTCCTCCGACGAAAAAGCGCCTGACGTTGCCTCAGCCAGGTCAGTGTGCTGTTGTATGGTATGAAGACAACTGGTGTAACGAAGCAGTAAGCATGTTGGCTTCGACGGGACCTATTCTCTTGTAAATGACTATTCTCTTTCGATAATTAGGAGATTAATGATTTAGAAAGTTGGCCCTGTTAGACAAACTGGTTGAGAATACACCATTTACTTCAGTCAGTGACTTTCCTGTGTTGGAGCAGAAACAGAGCGGACTGTTCGACAGTGATGCCAACATGCAATAGGACGGAACAAGATAGAGGCAAATATGCTTTGAGACGAATATTTCCTTCTGTGATGCAGCGGCCGGTGCCCTATAGCAAAAGTGTTGAGAAGCTGTGAATGCCGCGGACACTACACCCCAGATACGTTCTGTTTATGCAAACAGCCCAAGGGGATGACTTCAGCAGCAACAATCTGCTTGAGTGTATAAGAATGGAAACCGAATAAGGTATGACTCCTTCAAGACCAGTTTTCGCGGCGTATTGCACCGTCTTTTTGTTGCTAGTAGCCTAAGACAGCTATTTCGACAGGCGATGGCTCCGTGGTGTTTGAGCACCTGCAAGGTATCATTCTGCCCAGTAGAGCAACCCGGGGCTCTCCACGAACGCTGTTTCCGGAGTTAGTACTTTTTATATGCCACCGCATAACCATCATAAGTAGCTCGTACGTCTAAGTATGTCATATATAAAATAAATTATGCAAGACTGGATTTCAGTGAAAATGATATCGTGTATACTACGGCGTTACTATAAGAATCATCTATGCCTGAACCTACAAGTATTCAAATCGTTTTAAAAAATGTCACAGATCCGTAACATATCTCAATATGTACAAAAGGAAAATAGCCTGAGAGTGCCTTTTACTTTATTGCTTACGATTATACCATTTCATGCATGGATCGCTACTCAGTTCACACGGTACTATCAATGTAATACTATAGACATAGGTAAACTAAAACATGGATAGAACACTACCTTTTCATATCAACTCTCTTCAGCACTAAATGAGCTAAAATATCATGGAACCATGGTCTGCTTAAATTGTCCCA